ACCATATTATTTGTGTAAGTTGAACTAAAGTTTCAACAGCAAAATAAAACTATATATGTGACCATAGTAAGGACTCTCCCTAAAGTGCATTCTAATTAAAGCTTGCCTTGCAAGCACAAGTACTCATGGAACAGTAGTGCGTAAGAATAGTATAACTCGGTATCAGGCACAGTTAAAACTACAGTCAACACTGAAACTATCTTCTAGTATCGAAACTGCAGGTCAACTGGAGAGCAACTACAGTTTAGAGTACAGAATGGTCTCTCTTTTAGACTATGCTTATTACTTCGTTCGTGAATAGTAATGGAGAACACTTTTAGTACATTTCCGAGAGTAGAGCCGGAGTGCAGTTCACTAGCTATAGTTCCGACTGTAGTTCAACTACTTATTCTTCCACCCGGGAAGGCTTGGCACAGCGCAATTTGGCTATGGGTTATTTTTGTACATAAGCACATATACAAATATGTTCATGCGTAACTTACCTACACCATCACATTTCATACAACTTTTTACGGATAATATTGTACGTTTTCTAACGCACGCATATATTTGTGTATGCGCTGTATGTACGAAATAGCTTATGAAAACAGATTTGTGTAGCCTCGATTGTATCCCTCGAATGATTTTGCGCCCATTTTTTATAATATTATTCTTTTGTCGCCCTGCGAGTAACTATTACAGTTGCCGACATCCGGAGGCACTTCCCTGGAGGACGCTAAGAATGCCATTTCCATGCTGATGTCTGCATTTGGAAAGAGGCTCGCGTGAATAGCAGATGAGTTCGCCTCGGAGGTCGCCCTGTCGATTCAGAGCGGATTCGCAACACGGATGCGGGTGCCCCAGAGGCTTGTCCGATCCGCGATGGTGACGTCACTTCGGCGAGCCTTTCCCCGCGGGCTGGGATAAAGACGTGTGGGCCGATAATTTTTTTTTCTCCGGTGCTTATTCAATCATCTTACCGTGTTAGGTGCGGTAACATCTTTCTTCTAATTTAGGATAGATTGTGTTGGCTCGTTAAAATGGTTTTGATTTTTTCTCCGAATTTGGTCTAGAGCAGTTAGGGAAACTGTAGGTCGTACCTAATTTAGAGTGAGGAATCCTAAATCCCCGTAAAATAAATGTATGTCATAAAATGTAAATGTACTAATCGTACCCAGCCGCTCAAAGAAACTATGCATTTTATTTAAAATTTCGGACTGTTTCAACTCTTGTTGCTGATTTCGTTTTTTTACTTTCCAGTTTATTACTATGTAGGTGCAATAATTGCACAAGGCACAAGTAAATTAACTTTTGTTTGGCCGCCGTACTTAATATGTCGCGTATATTTAAATAGACAGTATTACTTAAACCTCTTACACTTTTGTCAATTCTAGTCATGACACGTGGTTCGATAAATTGAAGTCCAGACGAGCTCTAATAAGCACAAACTATTCGCATTGCGTTTCGGTCAATTACAATTACTGTGCAACGTGTTTCCTGACAGTTGACAAATGCACAAGACGACGTGGCTATGTCGCGTATGCGGACTTAATAAAGTGTTACAATTTTATTTTACCTTATTAGCGCAATCACAAAGTGATGTAGTTGAAATTTGTACTTAAATTGCACTAATTCAGTGCGTTTGTTAATCTGAAGACCTTAATCAACCTACGAAAGTAATAATAATGCACTCTGTCATTTGCCAAGTCTAGGTTGAGGCGATCGTATTATTGATACGTGTTTTTAACGGACCTGTTTAATTTCTTTCGTATTTGCACTTGAAATCCTCATCCTCTTAAACGTTTCTCTGCTGTCTCTGTAGTTTAACACTGCAGTAAATTTTCATAGACTTTTATAGAAGTATATTTATTTTGTGAAATGTTAAAATTTTTAATAATAATTTTAGGCTAGTCTCCCCGTGGATGGTAAGATGGGCCCAGCTGGGCCTGTGCTTTGCACTGAGAGTATCTGCGCAAGGCAATGCGATTTTCAGTCAAGTTGTTTCAATGACTGATTCTTTTTGTATGCGTGCGGTTTCGGCGCTTCCCGTGGCAATGTTGGAATATCCTACAGGTCCCTAACACCGGAGTATGCGCACGAATTGCCTTGCGTCGAAACCTGTTGATTGTTCACGCGACCGGTGTGCTTTGTGAGCAAACGGTTGAAATGCGGGCGTATTTTGGACAATACTTAAAGTAACCCCTTATCAAATGAAGCTCAATGGTTGTGTGGCGCATTATTTGTAAATGTAGAGGCGCACTGGCCCTCATCAATGGAGTATCGTAATTAATGTTTTATAATGATGGCAGAGTCATGGGCTTGTTTAGTAGTACGAGTTATTAAGTTTGTTCTGTCGTGTGTTTTTTTTTTACGGTGTTGATGTTTGTCGCTTTATTTCGAAATCACTCGATAGTCGCCCGCCAACTATTGCGTTTGGTACATATGCGTTGGATTTTTAAAAAAGGAAATAAGAAACTCGTTGTGCGCAACAATGTGCTTTCTGCCTATTAGTGGCATACTCACTGTTGTTCCCTTGGAAATTATATAGCTGTAAAAACTAAAATAATCGTATACCACGACAGAAAATAAGTTACGTACTCATCATAACTATATACGCCAGATTACCTGTAAGTCCTATAAGAGCAGAATGTTAATGAAATCAATTCCTTTTTGTCAATTTCTATGGGAACCATATGTATTGTATGTAATCGACGCGGAAGTTATTTTGTTTGTTTTTTTAGGATGGAGAAAGCACAGTTGTTAAGGAAGAACTGATTTGTACAAAGCACATCTTGTGGTGCCACGGTGGCCCTGCAAGCAGCACGCTCTTTGCCAGGATTGCCTGGAATATTGTTTCAGTACTTTCAAATAAACTATATTT